TTGTTGCTACAGCAAAAGACATACCAACCTCTATGTAATGAGATCGAATGTTTGAGCGAGTCATCTCCATGATTTTTCAGGGTAGGGTTCTCACCTCGATGCGACAGAGGAAAAACCTCGGCAGAGTAAGCAAAAGGAACAGGTCCCTCGCCGACTGAATAGAACGCGGCAAACATAAAAACGAAAAGAGAGATACAGGCTAGATGTGCAGTCTGCTCCTTCGGTATGTAAAAGCAAAACCCTGCAGCCAACAATGTCCAGGCCATTTGGGGGAAAGTAAACAAGAGAAGGGCCCTGCGTCCGTATGTATCGATGGTGAACACAGCCGGAAAGGCGAACAGGAAGTTGACCAGACCAAAGCCCCACGAAGCAAGCAATGCCTCAGTCACATTCGCCCCAGCTTGAGCAAAGATTGTGGAGGAATAGAACGCCACAATATTAATACCGCACATCTGCTGGGCAAGCATGACTGTCCCTGACGCAAGGGTTGCACGGCGGACACGCGGGATAGTGAACAATTCACCAAGACGCACCAGAATATTGTTCTTACCAACAAGCTCTTCTTCAATCTTGATCTGGGTATAGATGTAGTACAGGTCTCTGGCGGCCTGCAAATCACTGTTACGCAACTTGCATAGCGACTGGTATGCTTTCCTTAATAAACCCTTCTTGAGATACCAGCGAGGGGATTCAGGGCATAAGAACACCCCAAGAGTCAGAGGAAGGGCTGGAATAAAAGCTGAGCCGAGCTGTAGGCGCCAGGATATGGCACCTGTGTCTTTGACAGCAAGGTTTGCGCAAGTCCCGAGGAAGATTCCAAATGCGGTCCACAATTGCCAGGACATAACCAGGCCGCCACGAATGTTTGCAGGGGTGTTTTCAGCGCAGTATATGGGGATTGTGGCTCCTTTCAGTCCCATCCCAATACCCATCAAGAGGCGAGTGACAAATAACTGAGGCCAGGTTTGAGAGACAGCAGAGCCGATTGGAGTCAGCAAACAGAAAATAGCAGAGATAAAGATGACGCCACGACGGCCCAGATACTTGTTCAGGGGGTCGGAGAGCCAGCAGCCGCCAAACGCAGTTGCGAGGTAAGGCGCACTAGTTTCCGTATCAATAGATGAGCATGTGGAAGGGTGAAATACGTACGAGTTCAGAATACCAACAAGCCACTGGTTTCTAGCCTTGAGTTCACCTTTCTCTGGAATACCTAGGGCATCAGGAAAAGACAAGTTGGCACCTAATAGTGAAGGAGGTAAATAGGCGTTCAACCGCAAGGTATTCAAGAATATGTACCATTACTTCCCGTCTGATCCCATCCCCTGATGAATAATTAGCGATTGCTATAAGTGAACGTAATGGACAACGAGTCGACAAGGTACATACTGGACGGCAGCCCCAATAGAGCAAAGGCCAATGGTGAAATAGAGCGGCCATGGCTGGCGCCACTTGTGGGTAGTCTCGTTAGTAATGACTGTGATTTCGTCATCAGTCATATTCTCAACGGTCTCAAAGTTGTCTGGGTCCCTCGCAATCAGAGCACCCTTCTTCAGGTGATCCAGAATGTCCTGCAGCCCATGCTCATTGGCGAAGTGCTCAACATCTTGAAGAACCTGAGCGGGGGTCAAGTCTGCCAGAGGGTTCTTGATCCTAGAAGGATACATTAGCCTTCAATCGCTCAGAAAGGAAGATGCTGTGAATATGACTGCAAGTGAGAGATAGCTTACTTGGCAGAGGTGTTCTTGTTGAGGTTGATATGCTCAACATGACCTTTCTCAGAAGCGCCATGGTCATCGCTGAGGCTGTACAGAACCTGTTAGCAAGGGCTTCTTTGGGGACGGACTATAGATGGCAGAGACTACGAACCGTTGCTCCACGTGTGACATTAGATCACCAGAAGGTGTGTCTCCATCCGACTTCACTTTGGAGTCGTCCATGGTCACTGAAGCTTGCAGAAAGAGACGTATAGAGAAAGGTGAATTCAGTCAGCGATTGGGAGGGTTATAGTTTCGATGACTGAGGTGGGAGAGAGGTAACAGTACTTCGCAAAGGGATAAGGTGGGAATAGGGAGGGAGAAAGAGTTTAAGAAGGGAAAAGTGCGGGGGAGAAGCAGACGAGATGAAAAAAGAACAGTGTCATGCGATCTAAAAGGGGAAGGTGTCAGTCATGGAAGCCCTGAGAAATAGGGCTCCAACACAGCAGGTGATGCTTCCCCAGACGGGGTTACCAGCAACCATTGCCCAATCAAAGTGTGACTGTATTCACCTGGGCAGTTAACACTTCTTTCTCTCCATGGTTCTACTCCTGTTTCCCCGTGGGAATCCCCAACCCCGTACTCACCACCAGGTAATCCATCCCTAATATTTTGTCACTGGGCCCTACTACTAGTAGATCTTACCTGGTAGTATGGTGCAATATACCCACATTTTCATATTTTCCCTCATGTTCTCTTTCAACTCAAATGCAGTAACAGAACGATAAAAAACTGGGGAGAGGGGCTCTGGTGAAGCCACTTTATCCAATCCTTTCTAGAAGAAGTAAGCTCTACTATATTGTATATTGTATATTGTCTAAAAGTTCTTTATAGCATGGGCAGAGAGATCCATTCTGTGAGGGTTTTTTTTTAATCCTTAGCCATTTTTATACAATTATAGGTGTTTCTAGCCACTCCCAAATCTGACTGCCGCTGAGCCTCTAGAGCTAATTACTAAGGAAATCTTAGTGAACTAGATAGACTATAGCTAGTACTTTTTAGATGTAAATCATGCATACCAAGCGTTTCTGGTGGAGTACGTACTACTGTAGTAGCTGTTCCTGGAACTCAAAGCACGCCAAGTCCAGAATATCCTGTCTATGACTTGTGTACAGCGGACTGCCCGCGTTTTGGAAGCAGAGAGCTTCTTGCATCGAGTAGTCATAGACAGTTCTAAGGATATAAGGTAACAAGATGTAGACTATAGTCTGTGTAATTATTGGTAGATCCGGCAGGAGAGGAAAAATGACACTGCACCCAATCTACGCTTCTCATGAGCTGAACAACTGAAGTGTACTAGCGATCTGGCGATTGGTCACTCGGGTGGGTTTGAGTTGGTGCACTAATCCTCATATGGAATAGTACAGCCGGCTCCAGCCCCAGTTCAACATTTAGTACCGACTAGTAGCACTGCGTAATAGTGACGAGAACGACAAGCGAGTCATTTGTTGTACTTGAGTTGTACTATTCATACATTATGGGGGGTTGTCTTTTTATTTTTTTTTAATTTTTATTTTTTAAAAAAAAAGGACTCTTTATTTGCATTGTGATTTCATTTTCAATATCCTAATATCTCCCCTATTGTTGCTTCTCATTCATGGTCCCATGTACGACAATACAACGAGAGGAGTTCGCGGGTGGTTATTCCGGGATGACGAGAGAACTTCCATCATCACAACCATACTGTCTCCATAATCTGCGAATCATAAATATACCAGCACCAATGGTAAAAGGTGACCATCCACCTAACGGAATCAACCCTAGAAATCCCCAGGTTCGAGAAGCCGAGGTGGATTCACAGCCCGTCAGAATGACCCAACTCGGGGAGTATACCGAGGGCTGAACCAGATTAATAAAATCTAACATTTTAGGTTAAGGAGTATCATAGCTGGTCGATATTGGAACAGAAAACCGAAGCAAGATTAGGTCGACAGGGACGCCGAACCCCAAGTCTCAGGCTACATTACCCTGAATCAAATCAAACAAAAGTTAATTATTCTACATTTGCAGTGTCCAGCGTTGTCCCAAGGTGTGGATACGTTTCCTTAGCTGGAGATGACGAATGGTGGCTGAAGAAATCTCAAAGGACGACCACTTCTATTCATTTGATTCGGGACTATGATTTGTCAGGGGTTCTACGCTCGCAGTTCATCTTTCAATTCGAGTCGGAGTACTGTTCTTGCGGAGCATCACCACATGGGAAAGGATACACTTTGTATGTCCTGCTATACACTCATAGACTTGAGATCTTCAAATTAACTGTGTAGCTATATAGTTTCTATCAATAAGCTCCCCATATAATGGCAAGGCAAATACTGCGGCGCTACTTCGTACAGGAACCCTAACTCATACCAGCACACGGGCCCTTCCTTGTCACGGGAATAAATTTCCATTTGTCACTCAATGGTATTCATCCTTTAATAACCTGGAGGATTGCGAATGAGATGTCTCGGTTCATGTGTAAAGAGATACACTGTTCAACGTATCCAACCTGTATCTCTTGTAGTACTATCATCTATGTGTCAGTCCTATTGTTACTAAAACAGGAGCATCACAAAACACGACGAAACACTATATAGTTTAGAGTTTCGCCGAAGTAGTCATCCGCAGTATTAGCCAGAGCCTTTGCATTTGTCTACATCAGTTAAGTTAACTGGGACGTACTTAAACATTTTCCAGAAGAGAAGGAAGTGGTCCGCCGTTCACACTGGGTTTCTGCATCGTGCCCTTTTTCTGAGGACACAGTCCACAGACTTCAAGGGACTTATGTGCGAATAGTACCATCATCTGATGGCTCAGGATAACTCACTGAAGCCAGTTTCACCTAGTTAACAGCTACTAGCCAAACCCTATAGTAACATCAGATTCCGAGAGGATTGATATTCATACAACCTGGTGCAGTAGATGGAACTACATCATCGTGATAGATTGATCCTTTGAATGTTTATTCCGTCTAGATTTAGTTAGATTATTGATATGGTGATGCAGCATGCTAGTGCCTTCATTTTATATATAGCCTTGAGTTTGGGACAGCGCCCAGTTCTACTATATTTCCTTAAAGGGTTAAGGCACTTCGTAGCCATAAGTCACGTGTGTTAGCCCCAGAGAGAAAGAACCGCCACATCCAGTTCCGAGATGCTTGTTCGTAGTTCGACACTGACGTGGCATCGACCCATATATCCGGAAATATGCCTCCATTGCTTTACGTTACATAGAAATGTATGCGGGTTCTATGCCAGCCACAAAATGGAGTTTTCTCAGTCAAGTATACCATCCGTGCAGGATCTCCTGCGTTCCGGGGGGCTGTTTGTGCCATTTTCCGAGTTTCCGGTTCAGGCCATCTATGAAACCCCTGGCTGGTTTGAAAAGAAGCTACAGGAAGGAAAGCCGTTCGTGATTCGTGGACTAAATCAAACTGATCGCTGGGACGCATCAACTTTGAACAATGGGTGCCTGGTTACATCATCTTCCTCGGGAGGTATGTATCTAACAGTTGCATGACAGATATCTCATATAGATTTTCTGACATCTGTTCTCGGGTTTCTCTACTTAGCTATACCAGTAAGGAACTGTCAGACTGGTCGCGATGTTAGGATGCGGCTTCGTGATCTGATACCAACGGACCACACTCGTGCTGGTCACGCTCGGGAATCGTATGTCAAAAAGGAAACCCGCCATTACAAGTCTGTGACATTTGTTGTTAACTGCCATAGTAGGCTCTACGCGAAAGACCTTCAATGTCCTGTCGAGTGGATCAGAGCGTTGAAGGCCGTCTTGCCTTCTTGTTTAATGCAACTAGGCTCGTTCGACTTGTTCCGAGTATTACCAAAGGAAATCACGCCCGAAGTGTTGATGGCTTACGTTGGAACACAGTTGTCCTTGTACGTAGGCTGCGGATATGATACGAAACTATTGCTCATGAATCATATTTCAGGTCCGGTTTCCACAGATGTTTTAGTGGAACAGTTGCACTTAATCTGATGATCGAGTCTGAAGGTATGTAAATACCCCTCGCTGCACCAGTCTTTCTTAGGGCTTACCCTTGTATAATAAAGAAAGCCGATATGGATCATTGTGCTTTGGCACAGATCAACGCTCACAGGAAAAGTATGACGCGTTTATGGAAGGGCTTGGAAAGTCATCCCACACTGATTGGGCCAATATCTCCATCGCGCAAATGGAATCTGCTAATTTCCCGATATACGTCACTCATCAAGAGCCTGGGGACTTGGTGATATTTCCTTCAGCAACTGCTCATCAAATATGGAATGTCAGCCCCATGGTGACGAAAGTGGTTTGGAACATCCTGCATGCATCCTCGATTCCATCATTTTTTGATTATATCCAGCCTGTATATCAAAAGCAATGCTATGCAGACACAGGCCGAGTTCCCTTGATACCAATACATGCACTCCGCGACAGCAGTCACAACCCAGAAGAGACGAAACTGCTTGTAGATATGCTTCAACAGCTAGTCGATGACGAGGATACTGGGTGTGACTCATCTGTGCCTATTAAACTTGTGGATACACAAGGAGCTGTGGTGGAATGTAACTTTTGCGGATTGACGATCTGGAACCGACACTTACACTGCGAACAGTGTGGAGATTTTGACCTCTGTCTAACATGTTACGTATCCGGAAGGAGTTGCAAGCATGTTGGTGACTATACTTGGGCTGAGCTATTCCGGAGCGAATATTGCCGAACCCTCATCAAGACTACTCGAGATAGATTAGGCGGCTATTCCCCCTCAGACACAGTACGACCGAAGTATGGCTCCCCTAATCACTATTAGACCGGCATGCCTTAGCTTGCCTGTATAATAGTCTATTCAAGTTTCGATTTCGCCGGGCCCAGGGAATATCATTCAGCTAACCTATATACTAGACGAAAGACTTTGGGCGCCATGGCTCTGGTAGCAGCGGAAGCGCGACGACAATCCTCAGTAAGTTCACATGAGCTTTATACTAGCCTTTGCGATGGCTTGATTAATATTCAAGCTGACAACGTCTAGGAACGCCTCTGTCACCTCTGTCGTGACAGTCACCCTATCTGGAAGGGAATAACATGCTCTCAATGCTCAGCTTTCTTTTGTTATCGTGGCTTGTATAGGCACTTTGATATTGATCTCCTTAAGTTCCTCAGAAATGAAACCTCATGGGTTTGCCCGAAATGCTCACAAATATGCAACTGTCGTTGTTGCCATTTTTCTCATCCATACCAAAGCAAGGATAAGCCCGTCCGAGCTCGGATTAAGCCTGTTGATCCACGAGGTCGCATCTCCGGCTTCGTGGACAACGTATTTGACCAGAAGAGAGGCAAGAGAGCTGTCTCTGTTACACAAAGCGCATCGCCACAAAACACTTTGGACCTCGGGGACAGAAACGACATAGGCTGCCAAACGACGATGGTCACGAAAGGTCGCTACACGAAGCTATACATTCCTCCTCGGAGAGTGTTGAGCCCGCTCAGAATAGAAGGTCGGATATCGTTGCAGATGCTGATGTTCCCCCTGGCCTTCCCATGCGTGGCAGTTCGACAGGGTCTTTCAATTCAAAAGGGCAGCTCCGCATCAGTGATCTCGTGGAGGACAGAAGCTCCCCGGACAAAAGTTTCCATCACAGTCGGCATGTAGAGGCTCACATCCCGCTCTCTTCTACACCAAAAAATACCCCTTACCGATATCCTCATGAACCCAACAATCACATCGCTAACGCCCCGAATCCCATTGATGAGGAAAACATCCCCTCTCTTGAAAGGAAGCTAGGCGCTCTGCGCCAATACGCGGACGGCCTGCTTGAGCTGTCTCTGATCGATTCACATGCCAAAGTCCTTGACAAGATCTCGGATATAGAAGCTCAAATTGAGCGGAAAAGGCGACAGAAGGCCGAGTTGCTTTTCAGTGGCTTGAACCGAGATTTTCCTGACTTGGCAGATATGGCTATGGAAGAGGCACGACGGCGGGGGATTTGAGAGAGACGCATCGTTTTGTTTCATTATCTTAGCACAAGAAGCTGTTGGTCTATGTATTATTGAAATTTTCCCCTCTTCTCTTTACCATTCGGATTATTTAGTGGTGTGAGATTCATGCGATATATTTATTTAAGCCGCTAGACAAATAGAGACGATGTGATACTATATATAGTCATCCAACAAAGCGAGCCGTGAGTTGTACAAACATCTGTAATACCTAAAGCGGCGAAAGGATGCCGATATATGTTATTCTATTTTGCAGCATTGTTAGAAAGGAGATCTCTGGAAGGGCGCTTCGTGGACAAACACTCCATATGACACTGTGCTGGATTCTCTTGACGGAAGTCGCACAAAGGGAAACAAAGAGAGATCGAGTCTAAATCCACCGTCACTCGAGTTGTTAGGATATACTACTCGGACTAGTACATTCTTACGCCAAGAAGGCAAGAGGAATCATGGATGTATGTTGCATGGGAGTTTGTTTAAGCAGAACCGAAACCATGGAAAGTAGCAAAGGCGGAGGAGTTCCCACTGGCGGCGGTCGATCGCCCAGTCCTCCGCATCCCATTCGTTCCTCTCTTTCAATCTCCCCCTTCCACCCTTCTTCTGGCACCGTCACGCTGTACAAGGGAGTTGGCCTTCGGGCATACCAGATATCTTTTTCATAGGTCAAATCATTACCTTCACTCGATGTTGCTGGTACCTACATTCTTTACGCGCATTCTCAACTTGATACGCTCAACCTGATCAACTGGTCTATCATATCCCAGCCATTACCTTCTTCCCCTCCCACACCCCTCCGCCGAGCTACGATTGCCTGTGTGAATTGTTCACATAGAAGATAAAGCATTACGAACGTGCTTTCTCAAATTGTCTGGCTCTTTTGCCAAGTATCTCCGTTATAGGCTACCACACTCTTCAGTTGCGACCTCTTTGAACTGCGTTCTCGCGCTCTCTCCCTTTGAGGTTGTCGGTGACAGTCAGTCTAAACACACTAGATATCCCTGACCGCCTCCACAACCCACGACGACCGGAAGCTATCTCTTTCGCACTGTCGCACGATCTTCTCTCCTTCGATCACCCTGACCATCTTTCGATCGGCGTGTTTTCCCCTCTGGAAGATACTACGGAGAACATCACTTTGCTCACATACTTCTCACCGCTCGCCCCATTATGCCGTGCTTCAAGGGTCTCGCCGTGAGTATACACACTCCGGACGGCCCTATTTCCGAGTACTCGATCCAACGCCAATCCCGAGCCTCTCGCATAGCTTGTTACATTCCCGTACCTCCACCGAAGCTACCAGGTTCAGCTACCGGAAAACCCGAACAATCAACCTTTGCAGTTTCAATCACATTGCTGAATCCTGGTCAGGATGTGCCCTACTCTACCCCAAAATCGACACCGGAAAACCCCACACCTAAGCCCAAGGTTGTTGGGGGTCTTCCCGGCCAAACGGCAGAGCGAGGCCAATATAGTAGCATGGTGGCACCGTATCAGCCGCTGACAAACTCTCCGAACGAGACGGTCGCAGCTTATATCTACTTCGACGGGCGACAAAAGGAAGAGGTCGCTACTTTGCTCCGGAGAGGCGAGGAGACCTGGGTGAACTCACGATGGGTCAGTGTCCCTGAGTCAGAAGGAGGTGGCCTTGCTGAACGGGAATTCCTCTTCCGTGAGGTAGGGTTGGAGCGCTGGCTCAATGGCTTAGACCTAGAAGGGAAGGATGTGGCCGCGAAGATTGAGCGGAGACGGCAGAAGATGGAAAAGCGTCGTCTAAAGCGTGCGTCGGCCGATGGCAACAGTGACCTGGACATGGACTCCAAGCATGACAAGGGCATCATGCGCTATGGTGACGACGCGAAATCACCCCTCGAGGACGTTTCGGACGATGACATGTCTTTCTCCGATTCGGACGACGACCCTATTCCTGAGTCTGCAGGGCAGATCAAGGTGGCTTTGTTCCGTGTTCTGGCCTCGGGGGAAGTCAAACGTGGTGAATACTCGCCGCAGTTCGATGCTCATGATGACGACGACGAAGCCCAGCCAGACGGGAATGGTGGGACAGATGCAGATGTCGACCATACAACGAGTTTTGCAAAGCCCAAGACCCTCGACCCCAAGACCATCAGCACACAAACGGTCACCGGGATCGACCCATCCGACAAGCCTTATGCTATTTTCACATTCATGTATAGAGGAGAGCGTAAGTCAATCATCACTTCAATACATCTCTTCTACTATACTAACCATCTACAGGGCAATTGCAAAAAATGGGCATGTTAAAAGATCCCAAGTCGCAAGAAACTCCTGGCTCAGCAAAGCGCAGATCACTTCAGCCGGACTTCGCTAATATTGGTCCTTTGAAACCCGGTGGCACAGTTGGATTCTTGAACTTCCGGGACAGTTCCGAGAACAAGCAGAAGGGAAAGAAGAGCAAGGCCGCTGGAGATGACGACATGGACAGTGACGATGATGACGATGATTCGATCTTGGGTAAAGCCGACGATGAAGAGGCTAAGGAGGACGATCAGCATCTGTCACCAGATGATATTAGACGCCAGGGGGAACTGGCCGAGGGCGTTCGTAAGATCAAGGCAAGTAAAACCTGAGGCCTTCGCCTTAAGTTGCGCTAACGGAAATACAGCTCAAACGCCAACACTCCTCAGCATCTCTGGGCACTAGTACCCCCAAAACGGACACCGCTAGTCCCCAGCCGTCAGGAGAGACTCCTGCAGCATCCAGTATCTCCACCACCCCTCCAACTGCACCAGCAGTCCTTGCCGGCATACCCGAGGTCCCCAAGCCTGCGGCAAATAATCTAAACGGAGAGTTCGTGGGGAGCCCCTTAAAGAAACAAAGAGCTAGTGTATCCCAAGCGGATGAAAACGCATTGCGACGGAGGATTGAATCAGGGTTATCTCAACCCGTCAGCGGAGCTTTGGATAGTGCCGCTTCAGAGGGACCTCAAACTGCAGGGGCGGATTCCAGCTCCTTTGGGGCCCAGCCTCAACCAGTTTCGCAGGAGAATGAGGACGAAGAGTTGTGATGAAGCTATCTCGATGAACATATTATTAGTTATATGAACTTACTGGGTTCAACATGACTCCCAATTGGTTCTCGATCGGGGAATTCCCTCCACAACCACGTCGGAACGCTAACTTAGCAATCTTCGATAATCTATATCCTAAGCTTTAGTTATTTTGTTTTGGCTGGCACATATACAAACTATGTGAACAACGTTTCATCTCTTTTTGTTGCCGTGTTTGGAATGGGGAACACTCTCAAAAGATTATCTTGATGGCTATGATGGATTGGCGTAAGTGGACCAATCGATAGCCACCTAGTTGGTTTTTTCTTTCTTTTCTTCTTTCTTTCTCTTTCTACTTGGGGACTTCTACTTTTCTTCTCTCTCTTTTTTTAACGTCTTGACGATGATAACGACGGTATGGAGACTATTCTGGATTATGTGCATGAGTTGGAACTACCTTGTGCTGGATGGTCCTAGGGCTCTCGCCTACGAGGATCTAGAATTCTTTACTTGATACTTTTGAAAAAGGTCTGGGGTATAAGTTAATTGCTATAGAATAAATGGATCACGCGAGGTGCAAACATACGATTGATTTGAATCTGAAGAAGCTGGGATCTTACCTGTTTCTATCTTATCGTTCGGGAACTACGTACGTAACTTACGAATTAAATTGATTAAATAATTCAAATAATTTACCCCCGCAACGTCACAGGGAAACTTCTTCACCCCCACCTTTTTTCCCACTCACGCAAAGGCGCAGATGGACACAGGTCTCTGAAGTAAAAGTCCTTACTTGGTTGCTCTTAGATTTCGAGTGAAGTAATAACAATTTGCACATAAACGCCGTCAAAATGCCATTGGCACGCTCATCTGATCCACTGGTGTGGATAGACTGCGAAGTACGCAACCTCCTCTTCGACTCTACCACGATTCCCTCCATATATATGTGATACCTAATACACGCCTGAATCACACAAACAGATGACAGGCCTAGATTCCGAAAAGGACCAAATCATCCAAATTTGCTGCTTCATCACGGACGCCAACCTCCAACTCCTCGACCCCCACGGCTTCGAAACCGTCGTCAACGTCTCTAAGACCACTCTGGACAACATGTCACAATGGTGCATCGACACTCACGGTCGTACGGGATTAACAGCCGCCGTCCTTGCCTCCACCGTTACACCTGAATCCGCTGCCTCCGAGCTATTGGCGTACATTCAGCAATATGTGCCACAGCCTCGCACGGCGCTGTTGGCGGGAAATAGTGTGCATGCGGATAAGGCTTTTTTGTCGCGGGGTCCTTATGCGAAGGTCCTGGAATGGTTACATTATCGGATTTTGGATGTGAGCACGTTTAAGGAGGCAGCGCGACGATGGGGTGCGGATGAGTTGCTAGCTGCTGTGCCTAGGAAGAAGGAGGTACATTTGGCGAAGGATGATATTCTGGAAAGCATCGAGGAGATGCGATTTTATAAGGAGAGACTGTTTGAGAGTGGAGGAAATTGAATGAGAGGGTTGATTAGACCGATTTCTAGTTGATCACTGTTGCTGTTACGACCGTTGCAGCGTATGCACACCGACGCTTGGGTAGGCTGTGCTGATTTACTTTCCCTGACAGAGCACGCCACATCTGTAGAAGGTAAGGCTGTTGTCCTTCTGGCTGGCATCACCATGGACTATGAAGGGTGATAAAAGCCTGCTCCTCGAAACCTCCCGCTGTGACTTGGCTGAGTCCGGGGAGTTGCCTAAGATGGGCTGCGACCTTCTCTCACATCTTGTATAAGAACAGCACCTAGTGCTAGAAATTTTTGCAGCCACATCATATCTTTCTTTCTTTCTTTCTTCGCCTTGCCCCAACACATCATTCAAGGAAGAGACCCCTGTTCTACTGTGTCAATGTGGGGGCCAGAAAGCAGTGTACCACGAACCCTATAACAACTCGCTTTAACCACTATCTTGATTACACAATCTTGGAAGTGAAACTAGTCGCAGTCATGGTGACGTGAGGGGGAAGATGGGCATTGACTGCATCTGACAACGGGACATAGCAGTTAAGTCGGCAATGCGCGAAGTCGCAATGATAAACAAGCTGCTATTACTTTCATTCTGGGGCTATCTGTTCACTCCGTCCGGAGTACCCCCCTGCAATCTTACGACTTGCCGAGGGGTCTAGATTTGAACTCATTCATAAGCAAAGGTGATAAGAGGCCGTCGACAACAGATGCAGTGGCAGAGCCCCGTGGTCGATGAGTTGTCCGTGTACTTTGGCTCTGACGGGGTGAAGCGGCCCAATCATTCAGGGGCGTCCGTGTCCCAAAGTTTAGAGCTGCAGCTATTAAAATAGCTCCATTGGGACCTGCCCAACAATCAACTAGATTAAAGACTCTACAAACTGAGGCAAATCCGAGGGATAATTTGACATTCTCTTCTCACTTTCGTCAAAGTGGATAATCGTATAGAAAAGGGGGAGACTCACAATAAATAGAATGTCTTAGAAATAGTTTTCTATAATGAATCTATTTTTAAAATTTAGCTAATTGTTTCTTGAGGACTTTTCCGCCTTCCATGGGGGTCGTCGCCGCCTTTGTGCTGGTACCTGAGCCCTTCAAACCACTCATTGATGGCTTATGGACACTCACCCATCCTTCCAGAATTGCCTGTATTCGCTCAGTCTACCGCTCATTTTCTTTTTCTTTCTTTCTTTCTTTCTTTCTTTTTTGTTTCAAAGAGACAGGTATTGAATATCTCCATTGTTCCTACAAGAGAATTTCACATATTTTCTCTTTGCAATGGCCCATCAAAGAAGGCGCCTTCGACTTCGATCAGAATTGCGATATGTGCTGGTTTATTCTCTGACAGTCGTGGATTCGTAGCTCAGGTGGTAATGGGCCGTCAAAGGACTCAAAGCTGAGCAGATGCCACGTTACCTGAGTTTTTCTCTTAATCAAAGGCAAGCATTTCTGCTTCAGATGTTCTTCATTGACTGGGTTATATACATAGACCATGCTTGGTTAAGCGCCATACTCGGGCCAAGAATAGCCTCTATGTACAGCACTTGCCATGTTAGCAACTACTACCAGAACTAGACCTCTTTGTGATATCCAGGCGTACTTCACATTACGTATAATTAGAACAGATCTGCTTACACAGAACCTGAACGCCCCGTTTTCCTCTGATCTATAAGCAAGACACTACCAGTATCTATTGTATACAAGCCACACCTACACCCGCTAACTGGCGAAGATGATTTCTACTTCCTCTTCTGGTCTCACCTTTTATTCAATCATAACAACCCGGTGTATTGCTAAGCACCGCAGCAACCGTACTACACCTGCATTTGATACCAATGGGTCCGATCAAGCCTGGCTCCACGCCATATCCTTCTTCTCGAGCACCTCGACAGGCGCCTGTGGCTTCCTGCAGCCCACCCATATCTACCAATGACGGCTTCATAGAGGAACACTATCGTGCTGGTGGTCCAAATCTTTGCGGGTTTCCTCCTGTGTTTTGCAATCCCATCCAATGTGAAAACTTTCCTATGCTAGATGTTCTAGCCGTCGCAAAGAAATGGATTATACCGGTGATAACTTTTTATCTTGGTGAGTTCAGGCCACGATTCAATCTTGCAAAGGAGCCTGTGTCCACTATACGTCTCAGGGCGCCGAGAGAGTCCAAGGAGCGTTGGTTGGGCGCTGCCCGAGAGATATACCAGTGCTTGTGTCGAAATGGCCTTCATCATTTTGCAATAGAGATCCTGGATCAATCTTTGGACATTAGTGCCCATATCTAGCCACACGAATCTATGGGTGAAAATGAAATTAGTATATCAAACATAGGAAATTGATACGCTGAGTATTCGAGTTGTTGAGACCTCTCAAAGTCTTAAATGTAGTCAGAGAGGCTAATTACCTTCTGCGCACGCACTTGGACCATTTGTCCCCACGCGCGGGGCCTCGATCCCTGGGCAAAAACAAGAGCGGCGTTAAGTGGGGCGGAAGAGGGGCACTGATTTGGGCCTGAGGTGTACATACATGAAATCATGCTGATGACGGCGGCGCGAGTGTTCAACGCATGGTTTTAGTTTGAGTTGGTGCCCCTCCTTTATTTATCTTCCTCTCTCTCTCTCTCTCTCTTCCGATCCCTCCCCCATTTGTCGGTGAGCAATCTCAATTCCCTATATAATATCCTCTTATCTTCCTCTCCTTTCTTCTCCTCTCTCTTTTCCTTTTTCTCCCTCCTACCACTATCCTTGTCATCATGTCCGTCCAGACCGTCTCCTTCCAATCTTTTACTGACCAGAAGCCGGGAACGTATGTCTCTTATCTATATCTATCCATTTTAAGATATTGTTATATCATAGAGCCGTTGCTAACCTTCATAGCTCTGGTCTTCGTAAGAAGGTCAAGGTCTTCCAGCAGCCCAACTACTCCGAATCTTTCATTACCAGCATCCTCCTCTCCATCCCTGAAGGTGCCAAGGACGCTTTCCTCGTCATTGGTGGCGACGGCCGCTTCTATAACCCCGAGGTCATCCAGAAGATCGCGAAGATCAGTGCCGCCTATGGCGTCAAGAAGCTCCTTGTCGGCCAGAACGGCATCTTGAGCACCCCGGCTGCCAGTAATCTCATCCGTGTACGGAAGGCCACCGGTGGCATTCTGCTGACTGCCAGCCACAACCCCGGTGGTAAGAACAGCATGGAACTCTTTAGATTGAGCAATTGCCCCAGCTAACTCTCATGTCATAGGTCCCAATGCCGACTTTGGTATCAAGTACAACCTGTCCAACGGCGCCCCCGCCCCCGAGACAGTCACCAACAAGATCTACGAAACCTCCAAGACCCTCACCTCCTATAACTATATTGAGACCCCCGAGATTGATCTTTCCAGCATTGGTTCCAAATCCTACGGCCCATTGGAGGTCGAGGTTGTCCACTCCACTACCGACTATGTCAAGATGATGAAGGAGATTTTCGACTTCGACCTGATCAAGGAATTCCTCAACACCCACAAGGACTTCAAGGTTCTGTTTGATGGCATGCACGGTGTCACTGGACCCTACGGCGTCGATATCTTCGTCAAGGAGCTGGGCCTGCCCAGCAGCAGCACCATGAACTGTGTCCCTAGCCCTGACTTCAACGGTGGTCACCCTGACCCCAACCTGGTCTATGCCCATGAGCTGGTTGAGGCCGTTGACAAGAACGGTATCCACTTCGGTGCTGCTAGCGATGGCGACGGTGACCGCAACATGATCTACGGTGCTAACACCTTTGTGTCTCCCGGTGACAGCTTGGCCATCATTTCTCACCACGCCAAGCTCATTCCCTACTTCCAGAAGCAGGGTGTTTACGGTTTGGCCCGCTCCATGCCCACCTCCGGTGCTGTCGACCTGGTCGCCAAGGCTCAGGGTCTGCAAAGCTACGAGGTTCCCACCGGCTGGAAGTTCTTCTGCAACCTGTTCGACAACAAGAAGATCTCAATCTGCGGAGAGGAGAGCTTCGGTACTGGTAGCAACCACATCCGTGAGAAGGATGGCTTGTGGGCCGTCGTCGCATGGCTGAACATCATCGCTGGTGTGGCCAAACAGAAGCCAGACCAGACCCCCAGCATCGCTTCCATCCAGAACGACTTCTGGCAGACCTACGGCCGCACTTTCTTCACCCGCTACGACTACGAGAACGTCGACACCGACGGCGCCAACAAGGTTATTGCTATCCTCTCCGACAAGGTCGCCAACAAGGACAGCTTCGTCGGCTCCACCGTGTCCGGCCGCAAGGTCACCGATGTGGGCAACTTCTCCTACACCGATTTGGACGGCAGCGTATCCAAGAACCAGGGCCTGTATGCCAAGTTCGATGATGGCAGCCGCATCGTCGTTCGTCTGTCCGGCACCGGCAGCAGCGGTGCCACGATCCGTCTATACATTGAGAAGTACGAGAGCGACAAGAGCAAGTTCGGCCTCACTGCATCCGAGTACTTGAAGGACAACGTTGCTCTTGCCCTTTCTCTGCTCAACTTCAAGGAGTTCATCGGCCGCGAGGAACCTGACGTCCGCACTTAAGTGACTATGATTTAATGTTTGTAAATATTGTGCCACAAGCGTATGTGAGGTGCAGTGTTCTTTATGATGGGAAGAAGCAAAACCCATCCATGGACAAATTTCATTCTAAGATAGTTAATCGCATAGCAGTATAATCATAACTCATATCCCAGTCCATAACCGGTTCATTACTGTGCGCCATAACGTCATATCATATCATTAACCACCCCCAGAATCCCTCTACCGTCATGATAACGAGTAGAACCAATAATTTAGTCACAAGCCGACCTCGTCCCCAGCGAATCTTGAAGTTTCCCCTCCCACCAATCCTTCCACCGAACCACCTTCTCCTCCCGCCTCGCCTCTTCCGCCGCGAACACAACCGCATGACTCCTTACCGCTTCCTCCAGTGTACAGCCCACGAAGCATCTCTGCGCACGCTCGACCTCCCACCCCTGATTAACCACCGCATCCACGGCACGGACAAAGCTCCTCGCCAGACCGTAGTCGCCCCCGCCATGAGACTCCTTCTCTTCTGGCGGCTGCCGCGGCACCTCAATAGACCGGGTCGACCGGGTCGAGAAGCTGTAAATATGAATATTCCGCGAATCGTAAGAGATTTCACCCTGGGTCCCGTAAACACGACCACGCCGTTCACATTGTTTCTCCGTCGGGGCGATCATATGGAAGATGGCCGTTTTAGCAGTTCGGGGATAATAGTCATTGGTGGCTGTAGTAGGGTCAAGGGGTTCATCATCCCAGGTAAGAGTGACGACCTGGTCATCGCAGACATTGTTATCGGATTCGTAAACGCACCGACCGTACCAGGGTCTCGCGGCGATATCCTTGTCCTCCGTTTCGGGAGAGTAATCTTCTTCCAGAATACGGAGGAGATGGGCCTCTGCTGCTTTGATCTGTTCTTCCTCAGACAGAGAGGAGGAGCTCCGGATTACATCCTCGATATCTGGACAGACGATGTTGACAGGCCATTCGTAGTCGGCCCTTGCGACGTGCATGTCGCGGTAGATCTTGATGGCGCTGTAATTGCAGTCTCTCTCTGCAGGGCAAGAGATGCAGTTTGTTGCCGTGGCGGCGGCGCGAGGTTTTCTAGATTTGCGGAACTGGGTCAGGGAGCCGGAGGAGGTGATGGTGCGTGGGAGATGCGCTTGTTGGCGCTTGAGGTACTCCTGCTGCTGCTGTGTGGAGAGGTTGGCGTCTGCGGGGAGCGATGGCGGGGAACAAAGGAGCCACAGGATGAAGTCGAGGTCGTGACAGGATTTGGTCAGCAGGGAACCGTCACCTTCGGGCGTTGCTCGTCGCCAGTTCCCGCGGACATAGCTGTGTGCGAAGTGCCACCATCCAACTGGTTCGCAGTGTTCCATTGAAATAATGTCGCCAATGACACGGTCCTCAAGGAGGAGCTTTCGGAGGAGGATGTTGTGTGGACTGTATCGGAGGACATGACCTATGGAGAAGATGGTCGATGGGGAAGAGGGGGGTGATAAGCCCCCTGCTTCCTTTGGTAGTAGCGCGCGGTAGACGGTCAGACAGTCGGATAGTGATAGGGCGAGCGGCTTCTCGCACAAAATGTGAAGTTCTAACGGGGCGATAGCTTGTAGGATCTCCACGTGGGTTTCGTCCAGCGTGCAGATGAACACGCCGTCTATTCCACCGGTAGTATGATTGGCCGCGGCAGTCACAGGAGACCTGCTCTGTGTTCGCCGTTTGATTTCCCATCGCAGCCAATCTCGCCAGTCTTCGAACTCCTGCCCGTCCTGTGGAGTACCGTTGTCGCCCCAAATATAATTGCGGCCAAATTCCCGTCGTTTGAAGGGATGTGGCTCGGCAATCGCGTGGATCACACCTGAGGTGGCATTAGTGACGGCTCGGGCGTAAGCATTGCCTCGCGAACCAGCGCCGATGACAAGGAAGCGAAGTGGTTTGGCGGAATGAGGGTGGGGTGGGGAAGGGGAAGATGAGGAGAGATCGTGAGAAATCGGGGGAGTAGGGTCGCCCATGATGACTATCAGTCAAATAAATATAAGTAGATACTAGTTTCCGGTTGTGAAACTAGACATAGAGAAGGAGATAGGGAGAGGGATGAGGAGAAGAGGGTAGGTTTCGATTCTTATATGAAGTCGATACTCGATAAGTATACTCCATGGAACCTCGCATCGCAACCCTGCCATCTCAGGTCACGCATGGTTAGCCGAGCCCTGATTGGCCCGAGTGCTGCCTTTCGTGCCATCATTCATGCTCATCCGCTCGAAGAGAGAAAATAACTCCGTTCCGGATCCACCCAAAAATAAATAAATAAATAAATAAAATAAATAAAATATAACAAAATCAGGGCCCTTATCGATAACGTCCTGTACCTTGAGACTCGGGATTATATTTGCCATTCAACGTTACATGACCATTATCCGTACAAGATTTTCCCCAGGATATGTACGCCACAGAAATTATTGTTATACGACAAGAAAAGAAAGTTTGTCAGCAATCCGCTGGGGTTCGACAAGGAACAGTGAACTTAATTCGGGGTATCCATATAAGAAATAGAGAGTAAGATGTACAACAGGATCAGGAACATGCCGGCCTGAAAAGACCAAGGATTATTCCTGTTGCGAAGATGACACGTCCTGAAGGAAAAGAAAGAAATGCAAGCTCTCAGCGTATGTACAGAGCAAGGCTCTTATGATATATATCCAGACATCGGACAACGATGGGGCGCTTGCAATGGCTAAAGGAAAGACAATAGCGAACAGGATCATATACTCTCGGTAAATCGGCTGCCGCGGCTACCATCAAAGCTTGGATGACTTCGACCCAGCATGTCTGGTCGCTTGGGGATGGTGGGAGACAACGCTCCCTGCGCCAGAGGCACAATGCGCGATACAGAGGGTTCGTTAGATAAACTAGCTTCTGCGGAGCCAGGAATAGGTGTCCTGGCCGGGGAGGGCCGGAAAATCACAATGGGATTGGTTTCTTCGGCTTCCCTTGTATAACTCACGTCCAGCGGCATGCCATACGGGGTTGATGGAGGCGGTTGCGAGGTAGGTGAGCGGGGAAGGACCGGTGAACCTGGCGGGAAGCTCACACTTGGTTCCGACATGGTCGGCGATCCTTCCGAGAAACCACCGCCGTATCCATCTCCTCCTGACTGTAGTACGGAGGGAATCTTCCGACCAGAAATCTTCTGGAATCCACGCTCGCTGGTGCTAGAATCTAAGGTGCTTTCTGTATGAGTAGAGAGACGCGATTGTCTCCAACGCTTCATAAACGCTGGCGCAAAGTATGACGCCGTGAATAACGGATCATTGCTAGACCGCCGCGAAACCACATCAGCTGACCTTGTTACAGATCCTTCTCCAACAGCAGTACCAGTCATATCACCGGGCGGAAGGACTTCAGGGGCACGATTTTGGTATGCTCTCCGTCTCCGGAGAATGATGAAAACTAGGAGCACCAAAGCCATGGCACCAGCTACACCACCAACGACACCGCCAGCAATTTTGCCCTTGGTTTGGCTGTCCAGAGCGCCAGAGCCCTGGGATGGAGAAATTGTCGCTGACGTAGTCGGTCCAGTAGTCAAAGTTGTCGGTTCGGTAGCTGTCGGCCCCGATCCCCCGTCCCACCCATATGAGGCGCCGCCTCCGGTGCCGGAGGGCAACGAAGTTGTAGTAAGCTCAGATATAGTAGAGGTTGTAGAGGATGTAGAAGTTGACGAAGTCGTTGTGCTGGAAGATGAGCTTGAACTAGAACTAGAGGTTGACGAGGTTTGGCTAGAACTGGAAGACGAAGAACTCGTGGAGGTGGAGACTACAGTGCTGGAAGTTGACTGAGGCGTCCCACTCGAGCTCGCAGGCGAGAGAGGTATTTGGGAAGCGGAAGTATTGGAAGCAGAAGATATCACAGGAAGAGAAGTAGGCGAAGCGAGGGATCATGACTAGCCGACCCAGGGGCAGTATCAGTTGTGGGGGTATGTGAAGCAGGAGAGGCAGTCGGTGTTTCTTCGGAAGAGGTAGTCGGAACAGCCGGTGAGCTTTGGTCAGTGGTGATTTCCGACGCTGTAGGCTCGCTGATACCAGTTGTCGGCGAGGGCATTCCTACTGTAGCGGCTATCGTAACTTGCACCGAAACCTGGCCTTCCTGGGATATTGCGCTATCCATTTGGGGCTGCGATCCATCCTGCGCCTGCCGCTTCATCATGTCTCTCGGGTCATTCACAACCGTCCCATGGAATACGGAGTGCCCGCTGTTCGTACGTCCCGTAACACCAGTAACAGCTGTTGATCGATTAGTTCTCTTCATCAATCTGCTATACCGAGTGTGCCTATTGCCATGATGGGCCATCCTGGTTCGGCCCCTGCTCCGAGCTGTACGAGTATGCTCTCAACCGAAACCACCCAGAAAACTATTGAAGATTGAATATCAAAGACGTGTGGCGTAATATTAATCGACTCGAGATACCGATGCGCCAAACAGAGCACACGAGTTTTGAAGCTCCGTGTTGGAAGAAGATTTCAGGAAGAATGTAGTATGCGGTGCCTGCCAGGACGACACAAAGATATTCGGGAAAGAAGCGAGTTTTGGAAAGAACGCAAAGAATTAGAATATTAATCCGAATGAGTGCAGACTGTGTTGGCTACAGGATGATAATGTCGGGGACTGATCGAAAGAACGACTAGCGGTCACAATGAAGGCTTAGGCTTGCCCAAGCGTTGAAACCCCGCAAATAGCGCAGGTCTTAAAATTCGTATGAACCAAGGAGCGGACGTCAGCTGCACCGAAGAGCTGACAATTTCAAGCGTAATGATGGGAAAACGATTCCGAAATGCATGGAAACCTGTTAAGTAGGTCAATTAGAGAACCACCTAGCCACCATACCCGCTGAAAATATGAGAGATTCTCCGCAGGTCTCAGGATGATGCCGAGTCCATTTTGACATCTGAGCTCGTACATACCAGTAAGGAATGAACGAAGAGAAGCGAAAAGCGAACAGCAGGTGGAACTTTTGTGACTTTTATCCGTATGTCTCCAAATCTTGAGAGCCCCTCCAGCTCTAATCCATAATTGCCGAGAGAATCGAATTGGAAGTTTCAACGGGGAGATGGACTGACAAGAGACTCATCAACGTTGGGTCCCTCGAGAATCTGATCGCCAAAATTATTTCCGTTTCACTTTTTCCCTGGTTGCGGGATCCACGTTGACACCGGACCCAGCCTTGTCTCTCGCTTGTTCCAAGCCGTTCCGTGGTAGTATGTCACCTCGCGCGGTCCGGTATTTCCACCATCCGTTTCAATGGTTGTAGGCTGCCCCTAAGGAAAGATTCCGTCCTCTGTCGCCAAAAGATCAAGGGAAAAGAAGGGGAGATAGGGAAGGGAGGAGCGAGAAGGGCGGGAGAAGGTGAAGAAGGAGAAGGAAGGTGGGGAGAGAAGGGAAAAGACGATGTGAATGAGACGGCAGAGAATCGATCAGGCCAGACCTAAGAATAACAACAAGAAGTTCGGCTGAGGTCAGGTCTTAGACTTGCAGCGTCCACCAACTACTAGTCGTTACAATACGGGAATTACATCAGCATTGACTTTTTCTCAATTACGACCGTTATTTCAACTCCGATAATATCAATCATCTAGCTTGTTGAGGATAGGAGCATCGACTTCCGAAAGATGGTCCGGATAGATTTGCTCTATGTCAAGGACATGAGCAAACCTGGAGATTGCAATGAATGTCGGTACCCTGGTATAGTATCTTTGGGTACAGGTGTTCCGGTACTCCAAACACAATACCGACTTGATGCGTACGCATTGCGTACCCGAAATGACAGCCTTTCCACTTCGGGGATCAAGCGATGCCATTTTTGCACCCAGGGAGTATCATTGGCTCGACGCGGGAAAGCCAAGACTAAGTTTAATAAAACACTGATGGGAAAGTCTCACCTTCATTTAACTAACATGCCTTGAGTGGATGACTAGCTTTAATTTAATATAGAATGCCGTCTGTCACCCTCTCATCAAAATCTGAAGGTTCCCGAAGATCAACGGCCACAGATCAAGCGCATTGAAGGTTCTGAGAGGGGGAGATCTGATCTGGTGCAAGGCGGAAGAGGGATTCGCAGTGAATGCAACCTTGCTCTATAATTTGAGGGTCCATTGAGTACAAACCAAACCCTACTAGTACCACACACTACCAACTTTTAAGTGAGAGAAGTTGGTCTCGTACCTCTCTTTCGGGTAAGATACGAAATTGAACGACCAGAATGTTCTAGCCCATATTACATCGGCACGCCCCACGCGGCTTGGAATGTGTCACCTCAATCCATTTGTCCCGCTAGGCTCTTTTCAGTCTAACCCAGGACGGTGGTGCATGATTACATAGTATTTAAATACTATGCCGAGTTCGAAGTGATTGCGATTAGTCTACTACGAACCTTGAAGGATCAAGAATAGGATCCCGGCGCAGTGTTGGCGGCAGCCCGTACGACCTGATATGCATACAATAATATCTCCTGGGAGTAAGGGGCTAAAATTTCTAGTGTTTGGTCTCCGCCCCCAGTTCATCACACCTATCATGCTGCAAGGTACACGGTCCCTGGGTGAGATTATAGTTCACTTTTCCAGGGCCATTTTCAAATTGTGTAACCCTATAGTCGTCCATTCTGAGCCTGCGGTGCAACCCCGGGAAACCGTAAATTATCGACATTATTGTCAGACGAAGTCGAAGTCTTCGTAAGTGTAATCGTCCAGAAATGGGGTCAATTCCGTCTCCGATCCACACTGCTATTTTTATATACTGTCGTGGCGTGTCCATCTCCCGCCTTGGAATGCCATCTCCGGAGTGGAAATTTCGAAGAATGTAGGACCTCGAGGCCAACCGAACCATAGATTAATTCGCTCATTCGGTGGCCCTCGCACTGGAACCGATTGGTAGACTACCACAGGAGGAGGAGGAGGTAGAACTATAGAAGTAGAGAACAATTCTATTGGACTCTCGTCTGGAGCCTGACGGAAATTCAAATGTCCTATCGCCAAATGTCCACGAAACAGCTCATGATTTCTCGCTCTCCAGTTCGTGCCAGCTGCCAAGCTCTGTCTCTCTCTCTTTCTCTCTCCGACAACTTGACCGAGGACCCAACTCAGGAGAGTAACAGGAAATCCAATCAAAACATGAGGGGTCAAAACCACCCACGCAACGCTAGTCATACTATGAGGGGGTATTAAAAACGGACAAACGTTTCTCAACCGGAATTTAGAATGTCTCCAGTTCATCCGCAGCACCCTCACCCTCTTCAGCTGGGATCTCAAATCCTTCCTGTCCGACAGTTAGTCCTCCCGGTCCGTATTCGTTTGAACGGGATGGAAATCTTTCATACCTCTGTCGAGTACAGAATACCTTGGATGTGCTTCACCAACGAATCGTCATCCTTCTCCAACTCGGGGTCTGCCTCGATGGCACTTTGCAGCAAAAGCTCAATGTCTCGGAGCTTAGCAAAATAGAAATCCCGCTCCTTCTCCAACCCGGCAATAGCTTCCTTCTGAGTCGCAATCTCTTGCTGCAAGGCGGACACGTTAGGCCCACCTGCTGCAGCGACTCGTGGACGAGCTGCAGCAGTGGTAGGTGTAGCTCCCCGCCGCGTGGCTCCCGCCGATGCTGCGCCTGAGCGAGAACCACTAGCAGGAGCAGGGGGAGCACCCGAAGCCTTCCGACGAGCAACAGCATCGTAATCACCACCAGGGAAGTGCTGGTCCCAGTATCGCTTCGTCCACTGCAGGAATTCAAGGTTGTCCTGCATGCGGCATTTGGTAAGTTGTTGTACGGGTACCGGCTTGTCTACCTGGTGGCGAGCAAACACGTCTGTCGAAAGGCTGTGTTAATAGGGAGGATCTTTCCCCATTCAAACGAATCCACCCAGGAACGTACTTTGAAGAACCTTGAAATTTTGAAGGTAGGCGTACTCGGTATTGACGTTGAATTTCACACGGGACATGGGGACATCCACTAGAAAGCAGGAAGAAATTGTTAGTCCTATAACAAATTTACTAGGGGTAAGATGGCACACTCACTAAAGATTGAGTCAAAGACTTGACAGAGAGCCGCACTACACAAGATTATACGTCAGCCCATTCTAGCTATATGCGAAGATGCTGGAACCATATCCCACGCCGTTTTGGCTCCAATTTTGCAAGGGAGTCAAGTCCGTCGCCCGGGTAAGGAAGCAGGATTATCCATAACGTGGAAGTTGAACGTACCCCGTGCCGCACTGCTCAACCTTGGTAAGGTTCAGCTGCAACAGGTTGTTAAGCCATGCCAGAAGCTCTTGCCTATTCATCCCACAATGATTAGTCGCTGACATCCACACATAAGAGGCTTATTTCACAGATTGTTTTGAAAGGGGGTTTCCAACGAACCTAGATTCGCCCATGGTGGGGTATACGGTCCTGGTTTTGAGTTCGGTTGGGATAGCGGGAAGAGCTCCTGGGGGTACAATGAATTAAGGGAGTGTGAGAGGAAACAAAGAAGTCGTATAGATGGGCGTTTCCGCAGGTACGTGAGAGTTTGGTCTTGGTTTGAAAATTGAGGCAAAGTAATCGTTGAGAGGATTGTTTTGTTGCTGTCGACAAAACCCACGGGACCGCCATGACGCTAAGGGGGATCTTGGCCAATCACAAGGCCCCCTGCCCCTTTCCGTGAGAATGTATCGATTCCTCAGGCAAGGATTTGATGGATACCTGCCCAAGTGGGCAGTTATTGATCGACGCGGCACCCGGCAGCACAGCGATCACGAGTATACCCTGTATCGCAGGACGATGTCTACCATCGCAAGGCAATAACCATAACTACTGTGAATGTTTTCTGGCAGGAAGACTGAAGTGAGAAAGCAAAGTAAACATCTTTTTAAGTTCAACGCTCTATCGCTAGCCAATGTATATCCCAAAATATTATATCCAAAAAGGCGCAAAGAAAAAGCGCAAACAGCACAAGGCAAGTTTCCACATGAAGAGAAGAAGACCCCGATTGAGTACCCGTATAAACTCCCTGAAACCAAAACTTTTCCTGTGATGGAGCAGATAAAAGCAAATATCCGTCTATTCCTCTAGCAACTCAATGCCATCTAGTCCATAACCAAAGTCCATGATGACAGCTCGAGAATCCTGGCTCGTGGCCAGGATGCGTCGATAGTCTGACTTCACACTCAACATCCAACTGGTGGTCCAGCCGGGTAGGTCAATTGATAACTCCCCGGTCTGCGCATCAAAGACCTTAACACTCATATCGTAACTTCCACTGACAATCCGCTGCCCCGCACTGTCCAGATGCAGAGACCGGACCAGCCCTTCGTGGCCCTTTAGCTCATTGACCATGTCACCGGTGTTTGCATCAAACTGATATATAACCTGATCGTTACCGCCAGTGAGGATAGTCCTGGCATCTTCACTAAACTCAACGCACGCAAGTCCGCGATCTTTACTGTGAAATTCCTTGACACAGTGACCAGAAGTGATGTTCCACAATTTGGCCACGCCATCTCCGCTCGCAGAGACAATCAAGTCGCCACGTAGCTGAACTGCGTTGACAGGGCCCCTGTGGCCGACAAGCCTTTGAAGGAGAGCTCCAGTATGCCGATCCCAGACACAGATGGTGGTATCCTTCGAGCAAGAAACAATGTAACGGTCATCAAAGCACACATCTAGCACACCTGCGCGGTGGCCTTCCAGGCGACGAATAGGCTGATAATCATTCTGGATATCCCAAACAATGCAGGTATAGTCAGATGACCCCGTGACCATGATCTCCTCATCGAATTGAAGGCAAAGAATGGATGCACTATGGTATTCTGAAGCTTGTTCAACCGGGGTGGTAATCCCAGCGGAAAGCGTCGGCGGGGGGCAAATTGTAAGAAAAGGGGGCTTTCCAGATGACTGCTGAGACATGTTATTGACAGGCCCAATACCGGCGATATCTCCCGGAGGAGGTCCGATAATCTTGCGGCATGGCCAAGGATAATGAGCATCCCACACTCTGATGGTTCGATCACGAGATCCAGTAATGATTTTGTCCCTGTAGGCGGTTAGTTGGTGATAATGATTTGCTTGCTGAATGACATACTCATCAAACTGTGCACAATACACGCTGTCTTTATGTCCGTGGAGATAAATTGCAGCAGCCTTGCCTTCCTTCCACCGCTGCTCCAGCGCGCGGCGGACAAGGAACATTCTCTTCCAGTCTTGGTCTGGGAGAGATTTTCCTAAGCCAGCAGATCGTTTTTTCTTCGAGGTGCCGACAGGGCGACTATGTCCATAGGTGTGACGGAACACATGTCTCCAAATATGCCGGGAGGATGCCTGCTCACTCCAAGCGCGAGAGACCGATTCGCATTGCATGAGAGACTGGGGATCGAGATAAGTAAAGATGTGTGACATGACCTCTGGTGGTAGGTGAGTCACCGGATCCAAGCGCAGAAAGGCGAGATCCGTGTCGGAGAGTTCGGAGCGGTCACGCAGGTCGATACCAATACCGCTCTCCGAATCTCTCGTCAGACCCGTGTCGGAGTACTTCGCACCATCTCTCTCGGCCCTGAACAGCTCGTTCTGGGCCGCAGCGGCCGCCCGAGCAGCTGCACCTGCATAGAAATCATCCGGAAGAACGGGCGGCTCCGAGCCATTGCCTGGAATCGGAGCACGCATAGGCGTACTTGGTGTATAGAAGCCGTGCAGCGCCGATACGCTGTGATGAGACAATCGGCGATCGATACTGGTACCCTTGCACCATGAATGCCTATTTCTAGGCGCGAATTCGGGTTCATGGTTCAAGTCGCCCAGGTCATCTTGATGGTGGTGAGCCGAATGCCTGGAAGACTTATTCCGGATCGTGACCGACAAGCGGCGGCCGAGCGCGCGCAAGCCATCAACAGGATGGCGTAAACTGGAGAAGCTTTTGGCTTCTCGGCGCCTAGGAACAGGTTCAGGGAAATGATTCATTTCCTCCAACACCTGTCCTTCATCATTGGCTGCATCGACAGCTGACCCTCCACTCCATACGTCGTTTTCGAAACGGGTTGTCTGATGGGTCGATGTGGTAGCCGTCCGAGGTCGAGGTCTGAAGGAGAGGGAAGGACGCCGCCGGGAGGGAAGTGTCGCAGCCTCACGTGGGGACATGGTGTCGCGAATCGAATATAGAGAGATAATGCAGGATGATCGGAGACTCCGCAGATCGACTATATACTGATACAAGAGGGCCCCTTTCACCAACCCTGAGACACAATTCCAGGGAACAGCAAGGAACAAATGTGAGAGTGTGGAATAAGTATGCAGCGAAGTGCCCGTCGGTTCTTGAGCAGGTATCTTGTAACAGACAAATTATGGGGAGGCTTGAATGATGTAGGCAAGGGCAACAAAAAAAATAAAGGGTCCGCTTAAACAAGTAACTCCTGATAAGAAACACCGACCACCCAGAACAGATAAAGAATGAGAGAAAGGATGTCTACCACAAAAAGAAAGGACCGGACAGGAGGGTGAGAATCTAATACAAATCAATCTAAGGAATCCGAACACAAAGAGAGAGAAAAACAAAAAAAAAAGGGAAAGCTGACAAGAGGGGGAAAAAGAACTTAACATCAGGAGAGGGAGAAAAAGGGAGAAAAGCTACTTATCAGCAGGGCGGTGAGAGACCCCCAAAAGAAAAGAATTTGCCCCCCCAGTCCGATAGGCTCCGGTGAGTGGTCGCGCCGGAAGGCAAAATTGATTGGGCGTCATTGGAGGCGAACAAAAATCAATTCGTCCAAAGAAGAGAAGAAGAAGAAAAAGTTAATCAATGTCAATGTACTCCGTACCACACAAAGCCTTTGGGCTGTTTCTGCCCCTGAATTTACGCACTGGTGGCGTGGGAGCTTTAATGAGGAAATGAAAAAAAAATATTCCAGCAAAAAGTTTCCTTCCCAAAAGGAATTTATTTCTTTTTTTATTTATGTTTTTTATTTTGTTGACCCTCCAAACAGATCAAAGTCAAAATCAAAGTCAAATAGCAATGCCTTGCTTATCCAACAAAAAAAAAAGAAGAGTTACTATTTCGGGGCACCAACTCATTCCGACAAGTCAGCCCAACTGACCCTTCTTGGGAACAAATGCATTATGGTATTATCTGAGTGCATTCATCGTCGTAGTATGTAAGCAAGGTATCAATTGAGTTGATAACACAAACAGAATAACCTCCTGTCTATGATTGATTCTATGGAAACATTCAACGCTGGATAGACTATACAATAGGACTCCGTTTAAAGAATACGTTGAAGATCGGCTCCATCGTGAATCTAGGCCGGTGCAAGAAATCTGCCTCCCGCCCCCGTGGGGTTTCGCAAATCTCACGATGATCCACCCGTGTCGGTCTTGGGCACCTGCGCTTTGTCCGTGTGTGCTGTCGCTGTCAACCGATCATCGGAATCTTTCGTTGTCCCCCGAGAATTCAGGCGGGAAGGCGTAAGCAACCCTAATCTTGATAAATTCTCCTTCCCCTTTAATACGGGTTCAAATGTATTTTTAGTTATAATCCTATTTCACATGCAAATACCTCGAGAGGTGTATACGTATATATATATATTTATATTTATTGCTTTGTTAAATTGGTCTGTGGAAGGATGTGCGATCCAGGCGAACACACTCATACTTCTGAATGTATGATTCAGAACTGGAATGGCCTTGACCGCATTTATATAGTACACCGCTGTTACAGTCTACGAGGGTTGCTCTTCGAGAGTGGTTTTTAGAAGGATAATAGCGCAAAATAAAGAAAATAGCGAGTAGAAAACGAACTAAACCAAAGTGAAAATATAAGTCAAATAAAACATATCAATTTTCCCTTATAACTAAGAAAGGACCTAAGGAGAACAGGGTATGGTTGAGGACGGAAGTAGGGACCTTGAGGATTGATTATAATTACTTCTACCCCCACCTCCAGTTTATACACAGACGAGTGTTCCCCCGTCATCCTCCTCTACTTTCGCTTTAGAAAAGTCATCATTTTTGGTATTCTTCCCTATCATACTTTACAACCTTTGTCTCGGCTCAACCAAACACCTTGTCGTACCCGGTCATGGTAAATCGATAATGAACATCTCCCTTCTTCATTCGAACCATGGCTTCCTTGAGTCCCTCCTCACCGATCTGCAGTTCCTCAACCCATCCCCGTAGACCCTTATCTGCTGCCAACTTGAGCATATCCAGCATTTCCCGCCGACTACCCAAGTGGCTAGCTCCAATCAAGACTCCGTTCGCGATCAGGTTCTGTGCCTTGATGACCTGACCTTCTTCCTCGGGAAGTCCGACGCTGATCCAGCGACCATGGACGTCCATGAGGGACAAATATTTGGCCAGATCAAAGCCCTGGGAAGAGCTGGCGCAGTTGATGATCAGATCAAACGAGCACAGGTGATCCTTCTCCCAACCTTCCTCCGCCGTAGCAATGTATCCATCCGCTCCCAACTTTCGTGCATCCGCCTCCTTAGCGCGAGACCGGGAGATTGCCCAGGTTTCCGCTCCAAGGGCTTTGGCAAACATGATTCCAAAGTGACCAATTCCACCCAACCCCACAATTCCCACCTTCTTGCCAGGTCCGGCGCCGTTACGGACCAGCGGTGAATATGCAGTCAGACCGGCACATAGCATGGGGGCGACAAGGTTGGTTTCGAGTTGTTCGGGGATAGGGAATACCCAGTGTTCGTGAGTGCGCACATGCGATGAGTATCCACCTTGGCTGACGATGCCAGTCTCCGGCCACTCAGAGCCGTAGGTATCCATCATGAGGACGGGGCAGTAGGTCTCGTTGTCGTTCTTGCATTGTTTGCACTCGCCGCAGGAGTATGACTGGGCGCCAACACCGACGCGTTGGCCTTCTTGGATCAATGTGACTTTTGGTCCGACGCGAATCGCTCTGCCGATGATTTCTAGCGGAGGTAATCTCGTTAATAGGCTCCATGATTCTGAAAAGCTGAAAAGGATGGCACTTACCATGACCAACGCAAAGAGGAAATTTCTGATCTCCCCAACCACCTAATGTATATCACACTATGTCAGCTACTGCTAGAGTCGTCAAAGGGAATACTGAGCATTGACGGAGAGCGTACCGCTGATAGTGTGCAGATCACTCCCGCAGACACCACAAGCCTCGATCTTAATGTCAACGTCTACGGATTTGTTAGTGATATCCTTTCACATGTGTTAGAAACGACCCCAACATACCATAGTCGCCAAACGGCTTCAACTTGAACTGCACGCGACGGTATCATTAGTCTTCTAGCGACAAAAGCGAGGAGAGGAAGAGTCTGGACGTACGAATCGTTTATTGAAGTTGGTATAAGTCACAGGGCTATCGACTTGGAAACCTTCAGCTTCTTCGGGATAAGGCATGTTGTCGAATAATACAGTTAATGGTGGGGGGAAAACAACGGACGATGTATGGACGGGGTAAGTTGGAGTGGGAATGGTGAAAGGAAGATGAAAAGAAAAACGCCTTCCACCAGGCGAGGCCGACCTTTATAATTTGATCGCCACGCCAACAAACTAACAGGGCTGCGGAGCCATCCATTTACTGCCCGTGTTTGCAGTCATGGTGGGTATTCTCTCCTCCGAGCAGTTGGAAGGACTGGGCACTCGGTGACTCCGTGAATCTGATTGCATTCCCAGTTTCAATCTCATTCCCTACAACAGATTAAGCGCCTAATATGCGACTACCGTACAATTGAGACTTGCGGGGTTGAAGCGAGGAATCCTATACAGCTTCGTATACGTCGGGCGACCCCGCGCCATAAAGCTCGCTCCAGGCAGCCCAATGTCTATGAATACTTGATCTCTCAGACTGCAATATACTATACGCTACATTCTATTGTACACAGGAAGTGAACTATTCTTGAGAACATGGAACATGGTATGCCGATTTCCGTACTCCTAGAGGTGACTTTCTGTTTTCCCTTTCCTTTTTTTTTTACCCCTCATCGGTGTTATCAAGTTCAACTGACACCCTTACCAAGAACACCCACAAGATCCAACTGTAGTGTCACCTCAGCCCGCTAAAGTTTGTCCACCAGTGAGAGGTCAAATCGATGACAATTGGCGTGGGGGCACTTCGGTTTCCCAAGACAGAAGGTTCGGCAATCTGTCCGAAATCCGTTCGGTACGTACTCTCCCGATTCAGGAACCGTCACGAAGCGCATTGTATACTCCACGACTGCTTTACTGGGCCAACCGTAGACCTTTACAGGGTTTTGTAGCATTGATAGTTCGTGATGTGGGTCTAATAGCCACAATCGAGCATTTTACTAGGCGAATCTTCTAAGAAACAGACGTGTGGTTTTTTTTTTTTTTTTTTTAAAAAAAAATAATAATAGAAAGGTAGGTACAGGAGAGGTATTTATGCAATATCAGGCAACGACCGCTCCACCTCCATAGCTTCTTTGATTTTATCAGCTACCTCTTGCGTCTTAGCCTCGCTCAGCCGTCCCAAGGGCCGGCGAGGATAGCCTCCGTAGCCATAATACGACTGAATGGCACCCTTGGTACCCGGGATGGCAGTCTTAGTGAGTACCCAATCGGCAGAACTCAGAAGCTGCTGGGCTTCCATAGCCTCTGTAAAGCGACCAGCGCTCCAAAGGTTGAAAATCTGTACACACAAACGGGGAAGCACATTGGCACCACCGGCCAGAATAGCGGAACCACCAGAGGTCAAGGTCTGCAGAGTAAAGTCTGCAATGCCACCAAAGGCCACATAAGGATGGTTCTCGACTTTCTTGGTCGAGACGTTCTTGTGTTTGGGAGCCAGAGGCGATTCAGGGGCGATGGCATTGAGGGCGGTAGCGACACGGGTCAATTTGCCTGTGTTGGCGCAGGTGAACTTAGTACCCACGATGTTAGGGTGTTGCGAGATGCGGATGATCAGGTCCGAGTCCATGTCGATCCCGGACACAGCACCGGGGTAATTATAAAGGATCAACGGCAGAGGGGAGCCATCTGCCACTGCAGTGAAGTACTCATACAGGGTCTCGTCGTTGCCAACAGCATAGCGATAGTAGCTTGGGGGCACGATGAGAGCATATTCCGCACCTGCTTCAGCGGATTCTTTGCACAGATCAATTGTGCCACGGATGCTCTGCTCGCTGGCTCCAGTGATGACAGGTACGTTGGAGAAGCCAGCCTCCACAAGCGCAGATCGTGTCTCGCGAATGACGGTCTTGCGCTCCTCGCGGGTTAGGTGAACTGCTTCTCCGTTGGAGCCCATAGTGACCAGACCGACCAGGCCGCCTTGGCAAGACGGACAGCATGACGACGGATGGTAGGAGTGTCAAGCTCTTCAGTGTCAGGGTTGAAAAAGGTCATGGTAGGAGCGTAAGCTCCGGGGCGGAGGGGAGTACGGGACGCCATCTTGATGCTATCTGTCTGCCAGATATTAGTACTGAATGGTGCAATGGTATACATAGAGCGGAGTATATGAAACAACTATAGAGCATCTATGAATATTGAGTGCATACCTGATAAATTCTGTATCTGCGCTTCTTGCGAAATTCAAGTCACAGCTAACCAATTGGAGCAGAATAAAACCAAGACCAAGTCTGAGTGATCGGGACTCTAGTGATAGCTATATACCAACGCCATACCCAGGCACCGGGTAATTGCTCCTATGTTTACCCCGCGATGCAGCACATGATTCTGGATCATTTGCCCATCCCACTCCCCCACTGCCCCACTTTCCTAATCCACTTCGAGGGCCCACTCCAGCTTCGGCTTTTTGACCGGCAAGATATTTATCCACCAATGATGGCTACCCTCGCTGCTCGTGGAATTACACCCAATCGGATTTTACAATCAGCTCGGGGAATCAAAGGCCGAATAGGTAAACCGTTATGGGCATCACAGCGCAACCGACAACTAAACATGGCAGACTGTGTTAACGATTATAAATTCCAAGAAAGCCTCAATGCGGTCACCAGGTCCAAGCAAATATGATGCCAACGGAGGGAGAAATTATCCTCTAACTCTGTTTGCTAACATCAAAGCAAGAACATATTGACAAGATCCTCGTATAATAATAAATGCACAAATCAAGTGCCGCATCGGCTAATGACGTTCCCCAAACAGGCAATCTGGTGGGATGGAGATTCTTCCGTCATCTGCCCGCCTGAGGGAATTACAAAACTCGTGGATGCGCAGTCAAAATGACTAGAACATTGTCTTCTATTTCTTTTCCCTGTTTTCTCAGTTTCACTCCCTCTCCCACCTCTCTACCCCGCCGCCCGTGAGGTTACAAGACTGTAGTTCTCCCCCAAGCAGGCAACAATCGAACGTCGCAAGTGCAAAATGGCTCCTCCTAGTGTATTGATGGTAAGTCGCATCCATTGGCCTGTAATCACCTATACTACAGAATTGAACGGCTGACCATGGTCATTCTCAGGTGGGTACGGGCGAGTACACCACAGGCTATGTCGGTGGCACCGCTTCAACATCCGACAAAAAGGTCGGCGTAGTAGGCCTGACCCTCTTCGACCTGCGCCGACGAGGCAAAGTCGGCAACCTGAGCATGGTAGGAGTGTCTGGACGCAAATTCCCCGGAATCCGTAAGTTACCCCAAACAAACATGCTATACATCGCATCCTCACAAGACCCAAAAAAGGCTCCCACCTCCAAAAGAACATCTCCGAAGTCTACAACGGCCTCGATGTCTCCTTCACCTCCTACCCAGCGGACGATCAAACCGACCCAGACGCCTACAAGGCCGCCATCGATGCCCTCGAGCCCGGCTCAGCAATCACAATCTTCACCCCCGACCCAACTCATTTCCCCATCGCCCTCTATGCCATCCAGCGCAAGATCCACGTCTTGATCACCAAGCCCGCAACCCAGCTCCTCTCCGACCACCTTACGCTCCTTGAAGAAGCCCGCAAGCACGGTGTCTTCGTCTTCATCGAGCACCACAAGCGCTTCGACCCGGCATACTCCGATGCGCGCGCGAAGGCCCGCAACCTGGGCGACTTCAACTACTTCTACAGCTACATGAGCCAGCCCAAGAGCCAGCTGGAGACGTTCAAGGCCTGGGCCGGCAAGGACAGCGATATCTCGTACTATTTGAACTCGCACCATATCGATATCAACGAGAGCATGGTGCCTGAGTATGCGCCGGTGAAGGTCACGGCCTCGGCGTCCAAGGGTACGGCGCTGGATTTGGGCTGTGTAAATGAGACAGAGGATACGATTACGCTGTTGGTGGAGTGGAGGAAGAAGAGTGATCCGTCGCGGGTTGCGACGGGCGTTTATACTGCTTCGTGGACGGCGCCGCAGAGGGCGGGTGTGCATTCGAACCAATATTTCCATTGTATGTTTTTGGCCTTTTGTCTTTTCTCTTGTTCTCTTTACTGTGCAGTCGAGCTGGATTGTGCTGACTGGGTCTATAGATATGGGCTCTAAGGGTGAGGTCCGCATTAACCAGGCCAAGCGTGGCTACGATGTCACCGAGGATGAGCAGGGTTTGATCTGGGTGAACCCGTGAGTATTCCATGCCTGTCTCCAGATTGCCGAGGGCATGCCATCGCTAACAACGGGGAATTGGTGTAGATTCTATATGCGCTACGCACCAGACGAGGACGGCAACTTCAGCGGCCAAACTGGCTACGGCTACATTAGCTTCGAGAAGTTCATTGACGCCGTCACAGCAGTCAATGAGGGTCGGGTTACTCTGGATCAGCTCGATGCCAGACCTCTTCCGACACTCAAGAACACAATTGCGACAACGGCTATTCTGCATGCGGGACGGATCTCGCTGGACGAGAGGCGGCCCGTCGAGATCGTGAACGAGGGCGACAAGTGGGAGCTGAAGTGATCTGATCTCTTGAGCCATGATTTTGTATGTGATAAAATGTATCCATGAAAGTTAATGAAGGTTAAATATTCTTCGTACTGGAAGATCTGTCTGTAGACATAGAAAGAAAAAAAAAAGAAGGACTGTAAACAGTTCAGGAGATATTATCTCTGGGGAAGCGCAAGTGTAACAGGACAAATGCAAATTGGCATCCGTAGATGAGAGCAACACAATAAGTGAAGACACCCAGCCTCAACTAATGCGTTAGAATGAAGAAAGCCAACTCCAAACTCCGCCGTCCACCACTTCGCCATGCTGCGAAACTATCAATCAATATTAATCAGTACAAGGCACAAATTTCCCAAATAACGCTCCGATGTCGTGGTCTCATGAACTCAAGAGGAGTAGGTGGTAGATCGCGTGCTATCTTCTCAGAAATATACCATGATAATGGAATAAGCTACCGACGAAGGCCGATCTTGACTATTCCATCGGTCCCCTTGTTGAACCTCACGCGACACTCCGGACAGTACCATTTAGCAGTTCGACTGGGAACTTCAGAGAGTCCGACGCAGTCAAGGTGGAACCATTCCCTGTCACACTACAAATATTAGTTAGTTTCCGGTAATTGGAAGTCATAGGGCAGGTCACGTACGTCAGTGTTCTCACAACAGATCATTGTACCGAAGCTTACGTCCCCACAAAGGCAATAGCGAGGCTCATTAGGGTCGATTTCCTCTAGTACACCGTCTTCATCAATGCGGATGTCACCGTCCTTCGGACCGTTCTCGCGAAACCGCTTTTTCCCGGGTTTAGCTTTGCGGCGGCCGTAGCTCACTGCCGCACCACCGTCTTGTCCTGATGATACGGGGCCTGGAGCGGGCCGCCTCCTGCGACGAGGTGCACTCAAGCTAGCTGCTCGAGAAACATCTGGAACTGGGGTCTTGCGTGCAGGGGTAGCGCTCTTTCGCCGAAGCTCTCTTCCTGCCGTGATGAGCCCGACAGAAGGAGCCGGTTCGGCCGACGCAGCAGCGGAGCGACGCCTGGAAGGGGGTCGGGTTACGGGAGGCGTTGTAGTAGTACCCTCCAAGGTAGGTGGAGCGACCACAGCTCCAGATGGTGGAACAGAACGCTTAGATGCAACGGGAGACGCTGGTGGAGGGGTGGGCTTCGTTTGCGTCACTTCAGCAACGGCCGTGGGTACGTTAGCTGACGGAGTGGTAGTTGAAGCACTTGGGACACTGACACTCGATTCCATCGGTGTGTCGCTTGTCTTGCGGCGTTTCGACGGACTTCGCACCACAGTACGTGTTTCGGCACCTACCAAAGAGGTGGTAGTAGCATCCATGACCGGACTTTCATCGATTTTCCTTTTCTTCGCAGCTCTGCTTAGTTTGCCAGCCTGGGCCTGATCGCTGTGGGGGGCCGAAGCCTTAACGGGAGAAGCAGCCGATCCCTGGCGTTTGGCAGCCAACTCTGCCTCGGCCGCAGCCGCAGCCGCTTGCTCCCGCGCTTGATTTTCACGTTTGAGTTTCTTCGCCTCGTTCAGTTTCATACCCCGATTGCTCAACTTTGTCTCGAATGTACCCTCCGTATCTTTGGTTGCTTCACTCCGTTTGGTTAATTTTCCTGGGATATAGTTGTTCATGATATCATCACAGTCGATGAACTCGGACCCGTTAGCCTCCGCTTGTGCTTTCGCAGCTCTATAAGCCTCCCATCCCCGGCCTCGAAGGGCTAGCTCGCGGTGTATCATCACCTCACTCGGCTGCCACACGGCGTTTTTCTTCATCTTCTTACGCAGCTTGGTCATCTCCCACTCTGTCAGACGTAACCACGGCATGTCCTCGCTGCCCGGCTTTGCGTCTTCAGGAGGAGGTTTGAGCATTGCCAGGGCATTACTCGTTGATATATTTGCTACACCGCTATGTGTATGAGTGCCAAGCGACGTCCGTGATCGCCGGCCTTGTTTCTCTTTCCGGCCTTGAGGGACTGCCGGATTAGCAGGCGACTCTGACGGTACAGCCTTGGGCTCCTCCACATCCGAATGCTCGGTGCTGGCAATCGGTGAGTCGGGGTGTAGACCGGCAAGGTGCTCCGCTGAGAGGACTGACCGTCGTGTTCTTGATTTAAGAGATGATGCAGATTTCGGGTTGTCATGGCTATCCAAGCGTAGCGTGATGCGCGTTGTGGCTACCACATCGTCACCTTTCTTCGTTGGTCGACCACGCTTAGTGACGGGAACAGTCTGCGGCGCAGTGGGTTCGGCGGGCGGTGGCTTTGGAAGTGCCTCGAGCTTCTGCTTGATACAGTCTAAGCGATTGAAGTGGCGATCGACAACATCGTATAAACGACAGGCCTCCGCGTAAGCGGACTCGCGAGCATTGATTGCGCGGTCGAGTTGGGAGGAGATATCTTTGCGCAAATTGCGCGCATCAGGACGTCCATCTGGAGGTAATTCGGGGAGTTGTCCATAGGTCTTGGTGAGCTCATGCACGCCCTGAGTGGCTTCCAGATAGCGCTCGTCCAAGCCGCGGATGAGAGTAAGGGAACGGATGATATCAGCAGGGAGGTATTCGGTGTAATCGATGAAGTCGGTGACGGTGGCTTGGGCGTCAGGATCAAAAGGGCCATCCAGGATGACTCCACCAGCGTCGTCGTCGTCGTAGTCCGCCATCATGGGTAGTAGCAGAGGCGCGGAGGGAGAGGCTGGAGCGCGGCTGAAATGTTATTGTTTATGACGGCACCATGTGTGACGGCGAGGCCATCGAGGAGAGTTCAATCCAAACGCATGGACTGTCTACGTGAGACAGACCGACCGGGTCCGGTTCTATAGTCCAGCACCGGTAATGAAAAGGGGGATGAGGTGATGAAGGGAAAGATGGAAGCAAGTAGTAGTGAGTAGACGGGAGTTCCCCATCCACTGCGATTGGTCCTGCGCCTTCGGCTGACTCCGACACGTGATCTATTCCTATTCCGGAATAGCTCGATATGGATCTATACAACTCAGGTGTATCTTTGTTGCTATACACTAGTAGAGTGAAGAAACACAACAAAAATAATGTTGATGTTGATAGTATTTTTCAGTCTTCAAAGGCTCCTGTAGTGACATTGACTGGAGAAGGACTCTATTGAATTCATTTCTTCACCACAGTTGACACAATGCAGTGGGGAATACACCCACACAGCCAGGAGACCAGAGGTGATGAATATACCATGCTTTTCTGTAAAATACCGATCTATCTCTTTTGAACTATGCTCTCAAGTGAATTCAAGTTGCCAATACTGGGGTCATGCAGTTGCCTGGTTTCTGGTTTGCTTTATAGACAAACGCACCCTCCTCTTCTCTGTTACACATTCCCATTGATTTCCTCCTTCATCTCATCGTCATTATTTGTTGAATCTGAGCTCTCCCAAACAGATTGGAAATTATGGATAGAACAGCACGTCTAAATTTATTGTTCAGCCAGGACGAGGCCTTGCTGAGACTCGATACTCAGCTTCGAACTGTGCCTGAGGTTCAGTCCAACCGGGACTCTAGTTCTACCAATGACAACGTCAATACTGGCAGGGAGCCCTCGAAACCTACCATTTCACAGCTGGCGCAGAGCATCGGACCATCTAAACCAGATGCCGGCAATGAGCGGCATGAGAACGCGCGAGAGGAGGTTTCCGAAAGCGTGACTCCAATTCCTGGATCTTCTGCGCAGACAATTCCGGTCTATACCTCCTCTTCTCGAGAAGGCTCTGATGTGCCTCACGACGGGACTTTCTCTCCTTTGGTGACAATCTCAAGGTACGCCTACAAGTACATCAAAGGCCCGCTATCACAGAAACTGGCTAGCGAATTCTTTGATGGAGGCAAGTTCTGGAACCGATGTTGGGATCTGTGAGTGTTTAACTTGTTCCAATTGCAGTGCCCCTCTGACAATGCAGGTACTATATCAAGCTTCCACCTCTTACGGGCCCTCGTCATCTGCTTCTCGTGCCCACTGCCCAGGTCCGTGCCTTTTTCCAGGAGATTAATCGTGCCCTGCAGTGCAACTTTACTCTATCGGATGAAGGACTGGTTCTTTCCTTTCAAAAGGAAGGCTTTCCGCAGCCCGTATTCATAGGCAGAAGCATATGTCGGGAAACGAAAGACCGCCTCGAATCGCAAATTCCTGTCTCATCGGAGGCACCTCGTCCTTCATCTGGAATGGACGAGCAGTTCCTTGCCTTTGAACAAATGGTAGAGACCGCATGGGAAACAACCAGAAACAAAAAGAAGCCTTCTAAGGCCAAACAGCAACAACGCCTGCAAAATCAACGGCGCCTAGTTGAGGGCCTCCGACGAACACAGAGTTACCTGGGTCTACGCTCCAGTGAGGTAGACGACCTGATTGATGACGTGGCCTGGGAGGAAAAGAAAGCCCAGGACCCTATGCCTGAGACCCCCAAGCCGCTGCACATGGACAAGCCGGCACCGTTCCCTTTCTGGATGGAGCCTGTTTTCATTAGTATCGATGTGGAATCTAACGAGCATTATCATAAGCAGATAACGGAGGTGGGCATCTCCACTCTGGACACCTTGGATCTCGTCGGCATGTCTCCAGCCGAAGACGGGGCCCATTGGAGGGACAAAATCAAGTCGCGTCATTTGCGTGTGCAAGAATACGCTCACCATGTCAACCAACATTTTGTTGCAGGCTGTCCCGGGAACTTCGATTTTGGGACCAGTGAATGGGTCTCAGCCAATCATCTGGGAGCCACTGTACAGGACGCCTTCCAAGTCTCATCTTCGTCGTCTCCGACGCGTGCACCACGTCACCTGATCCTCGTTGGACATGCTATAAACAGCGACATCCAGTATCTCCGCCAGATAGGGGTACGGATGGAGCGCAAGCCGGAGGGAACTGCCGGGTTTATAGGGACGGTGGACACAGCAGAGTTCTTCCGTATCATTCGCGGCGAGCCGACCACGCGCAAATTGGCAGATATCCTTCAGGAATTCAATATGACCGGCTGGCATTTGCACAACGCGGGTAACGATGCGCGATACACCATGGAGGTGATGCTTTGCATGATGCTGGAACATAGCCGATGAGGGGAAGAATCGCTGACAGGTCAGATTGACGATGCCAAAGCTGTAGTTTTTTAAGTTCGAAGAATGATTCGGGGTATGATCTTCAGGGGTAATGCAGTAGTCGACAGAGTCTGGATGTAATTGAATGCACGATGGACAACAGCTCAGGCAAGATTAAACTCTAATTGTTGTTGTTTTATGTATCCACCGGGGTCTAGATCCCACTTCTTCGACTCAACCCAAGCTGTGAAGGCATACAGAGTATTGTGAAGTGGACCCATTAATACTCACCGGCTAACAATGCAGCTAAAGCCGATGCTCATCAACCGTCCCTCCACAGCGTATAAATTCAAGCACACATCCTATAATATCCAAGCCATATCATCAAAGTGAATTCTCATATAAAAAAAGCGGCCTCACACCCGAAC